TCATTTCTGCCCGTTTTTATGTGCTTGACCTTGAGCTCTTCAGTTCCTAGGTCACTCATCTCTAGTCCTACAAGCCATTCTTCACGTTGCAGTTCTAAGCTTTAAAGAATGTGAGTCGTTTATGTCACCAGGTGCTCGGACCCTGCGGTGCTGTTACACTGTCCTTTAATTGCAGACTCTTTCCTGAGACTTGGTCACTGATATCTGGTGTCTCTGACTTGTTATGCCTAAGATGTGTCAAGACTGATTTTACTGTCTTGATTGCTCTGTCCCAGATCTTTACGTGTCTGGCTTCAAACATGGGCTTTAGTAGCATCTTAAAAAGACGTTTTCTAGTCTTCTCATCCTGCTCCATTTTCTTCGGTGTGTGCCCTGCCCAGAATGTTCTTGTTTGGTTGCTGACTTGTGACTGGAAGCACATGTGTTTGTCTCTACAGACTAAGTTCCACGGGAGCCGGACTCCTGGCTGGCTCTGTGCCATGTTCCCAGCGCCTAGAAGGATGCTTGGTAAACGAGCATGGAGTGGATGGACCAGAACTGCCGGCGGGGGCGGGGGGCAGCTGCCTCGGGAAAGAGTCTGTTCCCATCTTTGGAAGTGCTGGGAGACACTGAAGGCCCATTTCTGAAGCAAGCATGTTTTAAGAGTGTTTCTTTACCTTTCTTGTATCCAAAGCCTCTGAGGAATGTGGCATGTTTATGAGTAGCATAGGTTCTGGAGGGATTTGACCTCTCACGGGGCAGCTTATCTGTCCCCGGGCATGGTAAGTATCCTTCAGAAACTCCCAGGCCATTCTTGGAGGCTCCTCTGCACACCTTTCTCCCACACTTCTTGGACAGGGTCCTGCTTTGCTTTGCTGTAGTAAACACTATGACCAGTAGCAACCTGGGGAGGGAAGGACTTGTGTGGCTTACACGTTACAGCGCATCATCAAGGGAAGGCAAAGCAGGACCGTGGAGGTAGGAACTGAAGCAAAGACCATGGAGGAACGCTACTTGCTGGCTTGGTCTCCCTGGCTTGCTCAGCTGGTTTCCTTATACAACCCAGGACTATCTGCCTGGTGGGTGGGGGGGTGTAGTATTGACTGTAGTGGGCTGGGTCCTCCCATATCAATCATCAGTTAGGAAAATGTTGGAGAGGTGGCTCAGCAGTTAGAAGCCCCGATTGCTTTTCCAGAAGGCCCACGTTCAATTCCTGGCATCCACATGACTACTCAGAACTGTCTGTAACTCCACTTCTAGGGGTCTGACATGCTCTTCTGGCTTCTAGGGCACCAGGCACACAAGTGTTGGACAGATACGCATGCAGACAAACCACCGGATAAATAAAGTAAAATGAATTTTTTTTTTAAGTAAAAAAGGAAAGAAAATGCCCCCAAAGACCTGCCCGTAGGCTATTCTGGTGGAGGCAATTCCCCAGTTGAGGTTCTCTCCTCTCAGCTGACTCTATATGTCATGTTGGCAAAAAACAAAACAAAACCAAACAAAACCAAAAAAAAAAAAAACTCAGCTGACATAGGCATTTTATGCATCCAATCGGGTGTTGGGAGGGCTAGGGAGATGGCTCAGCAGTTATGAGCACTGGCTGCTCCTCCAGAGGTTCCATTCCCAGTACCTATATGGTGGCTCACGACCATTCATGTGACTCCAGTTCTGGGGATCTAATGCTGTCTACTAACCTCCTTGGCACCAGGCAGACATGTAATGCGTATATATATGTGTAGGCAAGACACCCATACACATAGAATAAACATCTTTTCAAAAATGGGCTGTTAGTCCTGATGACCTCTGAGGTACATTGGATGCTTGTGTGGTTGATTTGTGTACTGTTACAGAATTGAAGTTATGGTCATTTTAGGGTTAAATCAGCCCATGGCTGTATCCACCCTCACAGGGCTTTCCTACTGCTCCCTTATAGGTACTCCAAACATGACCTCATTTTCTATCCCATTGCAGTTAGCAGTTCTGTGTTTATCTCCGGAGTTTCCGTCAGATTGCTACCAAGTGATAGAATATTTGTATGTGAAATAAGGGTATAAACATAACAATTATATATAAAAGCTAAGGTTTTAGAAAGAGCAATATGGGACCCGAGGCAGAGCAGTTGCTGCAAGAGCACAAGGAGCTTGAGTTAGGGTCCCCAGCACTCACAGGAATGTCTGGAGCCCAAGCTGGGGGAAGAGGAAAAGACAGACAGACCCTTGAAGCTCATTGGCCAGCAAACCCTGCTGAATCCATGAGCTGCAGGTTCAGGGAGAAATCCTGCCTCAAAAGTAAAGTGGGTGGAGGCTCAGTGGTTAAGGTCACTCCCTGCTCTTCCAGAGGATCTGAGTTTGGCTCTCAGGACCCACATCCAAGGCTCACAGCTGCCTGTAACTATACCTCCAGGGAATCCATTGCCCTTTTCTGGCTTCCAGGAGCACCTGGACACACAGGGCACACAGAGATAGCGTACAGAGAAACACACACACACACACCCTAAAAGTAAATCTTTGAAAAGACAATTAGGTGGGTATGAATGAGGAAAACTCCTGAATTCAACCTCTGGTCTCCACACATGTATGTGTGCACACACGAACATATACATACAATATATACAACATCACAGACACATGTATGTGTGCACACACGAACATATACATACAATATATACAACATCACAGACACGTGTGCACACATGAACATACACATACAATATATACAACATCAAAGACACATGTATGTGTGCACACATGAACATATACACACAATATATACAATACCACAGACACATGTATGTGTGCACACATGAACATATACACACAATATATACAATACCACAGACACATGCAGAAAGGGACCTGGAATGAGTGAGTGCTTTTGGCTTATCACTCAGTGAAAGTGGATAGCTTTATTTTCAGTGTATAGAGAATTTACCTCGTTCTGAACAATTAATAGGATTTCATCTCAGGTTTGTAGTATAATTATTCCCTTTGATGACATTTGGACCATTTCCTTTTTTCTTTTTTCCTTCACATCTACAAACATACTTTGTTTTGTTAGTCACATTCCTTAGGCAAAAGAGAAACATTTTAAATATTAAATAACATTACAGTTGCTTCCCCAGAAGGTGGTCTAACCTGACCTTTCACAGCAAGGTTTTAAGTTTCCCTTACTCCAGTCAGTGTCCCTCTCAAAGACAAGTGCTGTCTGTCTGTGCCTGGGGTGGTGGAAACTGTTGCTATGGTGATGAACTCTGGAGCACCAGTGTGACTATCGTCTCCTTTGGGTGGACTCTTCTTTGTTACTGCTGGAGCGGATGCTAGCCTGAAGCAGGTGTGATTTTATTTTATGTTTTATTGCAGCCGTAAAGGTGTTTGAATAGAGAATACCCCTGAAGCTTCTTTTCATGTCTGGGTGACCGGCTGCTGCCTTGTTAGAGACTTCAGGGATACAGAAATGTGGCCGGAGAGATTAATCAGGAATCTTGTGTTGGGTCTTCTGCCATCTATTGAAATGGATAGGCGGCTGCTAGAACTTTATCAAAGATAATTATCTATGGTATGAGGTCCGCAAGAGCAGACAAGTGGCTGTATTTACAGTCTCTGCCGTGTATTACGCACACATCTTGTAGAGAGTGTTTAGTGTTTCATGGGGTTATCATTCAGCCCAACTTTTGTTACTGTTGTATTATAGCCCCACGTAGGTACAATTGGACACCTTTATCAGCTAGATTAAGAGAGTTCTTAGGGTTGGGGAGATATATCTGTGTATAAGTTTAGTTTTAGCATCTGACATATCATTTTCCCCCTTATTTTTCCTTTAATAAATGATAGTTAAGATTATAAAAGTGAGCCAGGCAGTGGTGGTGCACACCTTTAATCCTAGCACTCGGGAGGCAGAGGCAGCAGGCCGATCAAGGCCAGCCTGGTTTACAGAGCAAGTTCCAGGATGGCCAAGGCTACACAAAAAAATCCTGTCTAGGAAAACTAAAACCAACCAAACAAAAAAACAGCAAGACATTGTAAAAGTATATAATTTAATGCATTTCCTATTTAGTGTTTGCAGTTTATTTATTGTATGTGTGCATGCATGCTGCAGGGCTTGTTGGCAATGCCCTTATCAGTAAGCGGTCTCGCAGCTCTAGTTTTAGTTGTCTTATGTAGTCAGGGTTACCTTGAACTTGCTGTGGCGAAGGGTGACATGGCGTGGATTCCTCCTCCATTTGCCGGGGAAGTGCTGGGGTTATGGGGGTGCCACATCATTGTCTGTCTTGGGATTGGTTTTTAGATTCTCTGATTTAACTACCCCAGATCAAGACAGAACACTGTTGTGCCGTACACGGTCCTCTTCATCCATGAAAGATGAAAATCACTGTCTTGACTTATTTTGATAGTTTATTTTGCGTTTTTAAGACAGGATCTCTTTTTAAAAATTGTTTATATTGAGCTATCTATTTTTCTCTGCTCCCCTCCCTTCTTCCCCCCTTCTCTTCTGCCCTCTCCCATGATGCCCAGGCTCCCTATTTACTCAGGAGATCTTGTCTCTTTCTACTTCCCATATAGATTAGCTCTACGTATGTCTCTCTTAGGGTCCTCTTCGCTAAGACAGGATCTTAACTCTAGCCCAGACTGGTCTCAGACTTGTGGCAGTGTCCCCCTCCCCCCAAGCCCTTCCACCAAGTTCTGGGATCACTGGTATGTGGTTCTGTGTATACGGAATCATCTAGCATGTACTTTTTACATCTGGACTGAAATTCATTCAGCTTGTATCTAGCAGAAGTCCCTTTCCTTGCCAAATCGTCTTCTCTGTTCACATGCACTAATTGCCCTCTGTGCTGTGAATAGGTGTGAACTGTTTCTAGCTTGTGCACATCATAGGTGTCATGCCTGTACGTGCATCGTGAGTGTGTGCATTCATTTTGGTAGAGGAGAATTGTCATCTTGGGATGTGTTTGTATATTGATTAGAACTGATTTGTTTTGTACTTCTAGATAATGACTTTGTGTTTTGTTTCTTACCCAGTTTGCTTGAGAATACAGATCAACCCACAGAACAAGGCGGATTTCCAAGGCATTTCTCCAGAGCGGGCCTTTGCTGACTTCCTCTTTGCCAGCACTATCCTGCACCTTGTCGTCATGAACTTCGTTGGCTGAACTGCTCCCGGGTCCTTAGTTGTGGAGCTGGAGTCGGCAGAATGTAAGTGATGATCACAGCCTTGTCCTGTTGGGTTGGCTTTAGCAGGTGGAATTAGAGGGGGCTGGCTCTGCTCCTAGTTGGAAGAGTTCTGTGGTGCTGTGACGTTTGCAGAATTTCCTGGAGGTTCAGTGTATGCTGTCGGCATGATCATCAGCTTGCTGTTCTGGGCAGTCACGTCTTAGTCCTGCAGATTATTAAGGTGCAGAGTGCAGTGTGCTCGATGCAGTGTATTCTACTAGTGACTGTGAAAGAAATACACTCAGGATTTAAAACTTTCCCCTTATTTTTGTTGTTCTAGGCAGGCTTTCTCTATGTAGCCCAGGCAGATCTCAAGCTTGTCAGCCTCCTGCCTCAGCCTCCTTCCTGCTGGGATTACAGGTGTGCACCCTAAAATTTTTGAAGAATGATAAATTGCAGGCTTTGCTTTTACATGTATTGAAGTTTTTCCAATTTTGATTGTCATTGATGTTAGGTGTGGCCTTTGTTACCTGTTAGGCATTCAGAGTAGTATGAACGAGTGACAGTTGGTACTTAGTAATATGTGTCTCAAACTTAAATGATAAACTTGGATTAACTTGAGAGAAGATTTGGAACCAGACTGATCATTTGCTACATCCCTTGTTGGGCACTGAAGCCATTCATGCCCCCTAAACAAACTTTACAGAACTCTGGTAGAGAAACAAAAGTGGGCCTAGGTTCCGTGGCAGAACTGAAAACCTCTCTGCCCCACCCTCCCAGAGTGGATGATGTCTTCTCCACCCTCTCTCTTGCATTAGTTACTTTCCCATCGCTGTGACAGGACGTCATGGCAGAGGCAATTGTAGAAGTAAGTGGTATTCATGCTTGCAGAGGATCAGAGTACATGATTGTAGTGGTGGGGATCATGGCAGCAGGCGGACAGACATGGCGCTGGAGCAGTAGCTGGGCACTTACATCTTGAGCCTCAAGCGTGAAGTAGAGAGCTAAATGGGAATGGTATGGGCTTTAAGAACCTTAGAGCCATCCACAGTGGCACACTTCCTCCAAGAAGGCCACACCTCCTAGTCCTTCTCAAACAGTTCCACTTACTGGGTGGAAGCGTTCAAACATATGGGCCTGTGGTCATTCTCATTCAGACCGCCACGCTTCTGCAGCAGTCTGCAAGCTGTGGTAAGTACTTGGATGCTTTTCCATACACATCAATATATGAGGAAATGGGCCCAGAGCAGTCCAGTAGCCTCTCCACTGCAGTTACATCGTCGTGAGCGCCTCTGTCTATTGATGCGTTGGTGCTCGTGCAGCTCACCAGTGAATGTCTGTGCACCGTAAAGTTTAGTATCATTGTTTCTAGGTAGGAGAAGAGAATCTTAGAAAATAATAACCTTTTAGGGGAGGTATCTCAGGACCAACCTCTGCACACTACATGTACTAAAAGGACTGGAGCTCTGAGACAAGAACACCAGAGTGGCGCATTGCAGAGTGTGCAGTGCTTGACACATCAGAGCGGCGCATTGCAGAGTGTGCAGTGCTTGACACATCAGAGCGGCGCATTTCAGAGTGTGCAGTGCTGACAGTGGATTGGAGCTCTGAGACAAGAACCACCAAAGTGGCGCATTGCAGAGTGTGCAGTGCTTGACACACCAGAGTGGCGCATTGCAGAGTGTGCAGTGCTCACAGGGGCTGCATTTCGTCTTCTAGCAGGAACTAGTCACTCACTTGAGATGGCACATAAATCCATGTTAAAACAATTCTGTTTGTTCAGGTAAAACTTTCATTTTAAGTAGTGGTAACTTTTGGGATGCTTTAGTCACTGAAACGTTGAGAACCACTTCATCCCACCATCCTCAGACAGCTTCAGTTCTTGAAGACCTGATCTGCTCCCTTCCCTCCCTCATCTCTCGTTGGTGCCTAGTAAGGAATACAGAGGAAAGGAAAATGCCTTTAAAAGTGAACAGCCGAGACCTTAAAAAGTGTAAACAAAAACAAAAGAACAAAACTGGGTGTCATAGTTAGGGTTTCTATTGCTGTGAAGAGACACTGTGACCACAGCAAATCTTATAAAGAAAACATATAATTGGGACTAGCTTATAGTTTCAGAGGTTTAGTCCATTATCATCATGGCTGGAAGCATGGCATTGTGCAGGCAGATGTGGTGCTGGAGAAGGAGCTGAGAGTTCTCCATCTGGATCCACAGGCAGCAGGAAGTGACCATGAGCCACTAGGCCTGGCTTGAGCTTCTGAGACCTCAAAGCCTTTTCTCTCCCTCTCCCCCGGTGACACACTTTCTACAATGCCACTCCAATAAGGCCATACCTAATAGTGCCACTGTCTTTCACACCACCACACTGGGACTGTGTTTCATTTGGTAGAGTGCCCTGGGTTCAATACCAGCATTGCACAAACCAGACATAGTAGTACCAGGAGGCTAAGGTTGGAGGAGTTCAAGTTCATCCTCAGCTGCACATCAAGTTGGAGGTCAGCTTGAGCTGTCTTACGTAAGGTAAAGACCCATATAAACACTTAGTTAAAACATAGCAGGATTAGAGTGTTACCAGAGATCGGAGCAAAGTGCTGGGGGAGACTGAGAAGAGGGTGACTGTGTCTGGGAGAAGCAGTGATGAGTGAATCCCAGCTTTTACCGGTTACCAGTTGATTGTTTCCATTGGGTGCCTTGAAGGTCCCTAGGAAATGGAGCCTCCGGTGTTGCCCACCTTGGGTTTATGAATACTAGGTGTAACTCTTTGGCCTTCAGTGGAGGGATTGCAACAGCTGTGCCTTCTGATTGCTTCACTAGATTTGCTGAGGTGTTTTCTAGATGAGTTACGGTATGTATTTAGGAAGGAACAGAACAGATTTCAAGGGTGTTCTCAAAGTTCAGAAAGATAGCAGATCATGAAAAATTATTTCCTGGCACTGCCATGATTGGAGGAGGACTTGGCTCCCAAGAACTCAGTATTTCAAAATTATGACAGAACAAACGAAAAAGCAGGCTCAGCAGAAACCGTGTAGTGCAGATATTAACAGCTCAGCCACCTGCTCAGCTGGGAATTACGGGCTCCGAGTATGCAGACTCTTCAATCCCAGTTGCAGTGTTCAGATTCTGTGGAGAGAAGAGGCTCCTAGGAGGGTGGAATGATCTCTTCTCCGGGGTCGCCCAGTACATTTTCCTGAGATCTTTCACGTGACATATACCACCCCGTCCCGCACATTTATTGGTGCCATCTATGTGGCTTTAATTTAGCTGTGTACTCCTGGTGCCAACTGTAGTTTCCCAGTGGCGTCAATCTTTACGCTAACTCAGAAGGCAGGATAACAAAGCAAAGCAAAAGCACCCAGTGCTCCGAGAAGACATTTATGAGACACTAGAGCTGACTTCCGTATTCCTATGACGTGAAATGTGGGGCCATAGGGCAGCACATTTTCAGCTAGATTCTCATGTTGCTGCCTAGCATTTTTTCTTTTTTCTTTTCCTTTTTTTTGAGACAGGATTTCTCTGTGTTGCTCTGGCTGTTGTCTTGGAACTTGCTCTGTAGCCCAGGCTAGCCTCAGACTCAGAGATCTGCCTGCCTCTGTCCCCGAGTGCTGGGATTAAAGGTGTGCACCACCATCATCCAGCTGCTGCCTACCGTTCTTTTTTCAATTGAGAATGCATGTTTAAAAAAATCTATAACAGATTTTTAATGAATTTGAAGGTGACATTTAAAACCATCTGGAAAAGGCCGATCAAAAGAAAATGTCATTGGGCTGTGAAAGTCATGGCGGTTTAGCAGAGCCGAGGAGCAGCAGGAGTTCCCACTGGTGTTTTGAGTGCTTGTGCAATCTCTTTATTTTCAAATAGCCTCAGGAAGATGAGTTTGCCGTTCCCATTTGTAGGCCAGGTATTGAGAGATCCAGAGAGCCTTGTGAGGCATCTTTTGTTTGTTTGGGCTTTAGACGGGGTCCCTTGTAGCCCAAGGTCACTTCAAACCCCGTACATACTGAAAGATGACCCTGGGCTCCTGATCCTCCATCCTCTGCCTCCCCCATGCTGGGATTACGAGTATAGGCATCCCCTAGACCAATTTCAGATTCCCTTCTTAATTTTTAAAATAGTATTTTTTACTTTTAATTATGTATATGTGTGTACATCTATGTGGGTTTGTCATGTTAGTATCTACCCCTGCCCAGTTACCCACCCCAGTCCATTTAGTGCTGCCTACACACCAGCTCCTGTGGGCACCAGCTCCCGCGGTGAGCACCAGCTCCCGCGGTGGGCACCAGCTCCCGCGGTGGGCACCAGCTCCTGTGGTGTAATGGTTAAAGCTCTGGACTCTGAATCCAACTCTCCAAGTTTGTATATTGGTAGAACCTGTTCCTTGAGGAAGAGACCTGGTCAGTCGTCCTCATTAACTCAGACCATGAAACCCAGTGTAAACGGGCTGCCCATGCATTCTGCAGCCTTGCCAGGGGCATGTTCCTTTCACTTTACACACCCATGGAGTGGGACCACATGTTGCAGCTACCTACCAGCCTAGATGTCACCCTCTAAGCTCTGCTGCCACCTAGTGGATGTACATTTCCTTCACTGAGATGCTGAGAGTGTATTACAGAGTTATATTTTGGTGGAACGGCAAAAGCTAGTTCCTTCCCAGTCACAAGAGGGCAGCAGAGGCTCAGGTGAGCTGAAATGCTGACTGGCGGGTGCTTTGCATTCTGGCCAGCAGTGGGCAGTGTTGAGCTAGGAATCCTTAGCACCACCCAGGGTTGCCTTCCTGGGGTCTCCCTTTCTTGTCAGTTGCCTTTATTCCAGACCCTTTATTGCCTCCAACAATGAACTGCTGTGGGCAACAAATCTTTGATTTTTTTAATTGATGAGTGGGTCCTGTAACCTTTTCTCAGCTCCTTAGCCCCTCAGGGGCTGGAAAGTGAGATTAATTCTTTACTGGTTAGTCCTAATGGTTAAAAGCATTAATTGACTTTGAATTGGTGGCTGAAGTCTTCTGTCTTTTAGGGAGAGAGAGAGATAGACAGAGAAAGAGAGGGGAGAGGGGATAGGGGGGAGGGGGGAGGGGGAGGGGGGAGAGGGGAGAGAGGGAGAGGGGAGACATGGTCAGATGTAGTCAGATGTAGTCGTGGGCGTGGCTGTTGCAGCCATGACACGTGGTCGGAGGACAGAGGACCACGTGGAGTTGTGCCCCTCCTTCTGCCACCTGGGCCCTGGGGCTGGAACTCAGGTAGTTGGACTCAGCAGGTGTCATTGCCCATGGGTTCTTCTCATTTAAATTTATTTTCAGTTTTGTGTGAGACAGTCTTGCTCTGTGGCCAAGGCTACCCTTGAACTCACGATCCACTCCTTTGCCTCCTGAGTGTGGGCTACAGTAGGTCACTGCTGTACCTGGCTCAGGGGATCCATGCTAGGAATTCTGTTCCTGTCCTCATCCCCTGGGGACCCGAAGTTGTCACCCTGGTGTCTGGGCTCTCAGGTCCACACCTCTCACATTCTGCATTTGTCACATTGCTTTAGAAGTGTCCACTCTTGTTCCTGCCTGCACTGCACACCCAGGTTCCTGAGGGTGGGGATGTTTTTATTTATTTATTTTTAAAGAATTTTTTAATTTATTTAACTTTATGTGCATTGGTTTGAAGGTGGATCTACAGACAGTTGTGAGCTGCTGTGTGGGTGCTTGGAATTGAACCCGGGTCCTGGAAGTCAGTGCCTTCTCCAGCCCTGAGGGTGGGGCCCTTAAGCAGCCTCGGTTTTCCTGCTTGTACAGTGGGGGGCTTGGCCTTCATCACAGTTTCTTTTCACTAATGTTTATGATGGTCACTGTTTTGTGGACTCCATTTGGGCCTTTCTCTCTCTCTCTCTCTCTCTCTCCTGTTGCTTTTTTCCTATTCCCACTGTCTGGGCATTAAAGGTGGAACTTGAAAGTGGGATTGTTCACAATAAAATAATAAAATGTGCGGTGTTATAGAACCGACCATCTATAAAATGTTTTGTTGCTACCACGCCGCACATTTTCTGCTTCATATCTCTTCCGTATGCAGCTTTACATCAGTGTGCAGTTTTCTTGTGCGCCCTGTGGTGGGGGAGACAGAGCGTCGCACCTGTGTTATACCACGAGGAAACATCCTTGGCCAAATTTCAGTTGACTTTAATCCTTGGTACTAAGTGATTTAGTGGGCACTTAAGAGTGGACCCCTGGAGCCTAAATGTGGGTGTTGTTCTCTGTACATGTGTAAATCTAAAGTCATCACTCAAAAGTTTCATAAGTGATGACTTTTAGATTTACACATATACATAATTATATATATTATAATACTTATTATAATATATACCACATATATAATATGTATTATAATACATTTCCTATTAAATTATGCTTGTTAAAATACTAAAGTTGCTTTCTTTATTGAATGGGAAAAACTAAAGAGAAGTTCATAAGAAGAGATGGACACTGAACCTTAGGTGTTTCTGCAGAGTCAGGCATCTTTACTGTGGTACAGGAGAGCTGTACGGCAATGCAGACTGGGAGACTTGACTCCGTCTACTGGCACCTTGTTCTGGGTCTGCACCACCCACAACGGTAACCACTAGTCATGTGATCCATGTTGGTTGGTGGATATCTGAAAAGTGACTCACTAACCAAGGAAATGAATTTTAATTTCCTTCATTTTTTAATTTTTAAATTTTTTTTTAGACAGGCTGTTCGGAATCCTTGGCTACCCTGGAATTCAATATATAGCTAAGGAAGGTCTTGAACTTGTGATCCTCCTGCCTCCACCCCCATCTTCTGGGATTACAGACATGTGTCACCATGCCTGGTTTTATGGATGCTAAGTATCAAACCCATGGTGTCATGTATACTCCATAAGTACTCTACCTACTGAACTCTGTCCTCAGCCCAGCCATAACTTCCCCTAATTTTACTGAATCTGTGTAGATGCTGGCTACTAGGTTGGGCAGCACAGCTCTGGATAAAATGTCCAAGCTGTCAATTTCTAGTTTTGTCATTTCTAAGATGAGAGAGTTAGCCTAGTTGATTTCTGGAGCGCCCTTGGTTTTCAGACGTTATGATCCGGGCCTTGTAAGATGAGCGTGATCAGACCGACCTGCTCTTGGGAGTTCTGCACAGTGGTCTGATTTATATCAGCCTCTGTTTCAGTTTTAATTGGGTGATCAGAATCCAGGAAAGATGGATTTGATGGTGGCAGTTCAGGTGTCTGAGTAGAGGGCTTGCTGCGGAAGAGCATGTTCAGGAGGGAGCTCTGCCCAGCACTAATTTCACCTCTGTGGACAGTGGTTTTCAGTGTCCCCAGGTGTCTGCCTGGGTGACAGACGGGACCTCCCTGTACCTTTCTCAGTAGGTTTTGTCCGTTTGGTGTGACTCACGATCAGGGAGGAGGTTCTCAGGCAGTTTGTGATGTCTTTGCTCTGTTAACAGTTGAGAGTGCTCTTCTGAGTTGTCCATGGGGCCCAGTTGTGCTGAGCTAACATTTCAGAAAACATGAAGCCTCTGTTGTTTGAATACCCTCCAAGTACATCTTCTCTGCAAAAGGGGGAATTGACCTTTGGGAATTGAGTTTTCTGAAAACTACTGCCAAAAATGCTTTTCTTCCTGAGCCCTTTTTCTTTTTTGTGGGCTGGCCTTGGTGTCTCAGGCTCAAGTGTTTTAGTATCAGAAGTCCGCCCAGCTCGGGGCAGCAACCCAGCCACATCTGCAGCCATTTCCTATCTTACCCAAAGTAACTTACTTTAAGTAAAAATGAGATCACTTCTTCTAAAGCCCTTGGCCCATTGTGAAGTCTTGAGAAGTCTTCCTTCTGTCCCGAGTGTCCTCATACTGGGCACTAGCACTTTGTGAGGAGTCTGGGCAGGACGGTGGTGCTGATGAGAACCAGGATTGCTGAGTTGGAGAGCTGGAGGCTGCTTTCTTCAGCTCCTCTCCTGTCAAAGGAGGTGTGAGCATTGTCTTTATAGACACTACTCTCACACAGTGTCCGAGACAACAGTCAGCCTCATTCTGGTTATTGTAGTCTGGCTGAAATGCTGTCTTGTGCTTAGGAGTGAGTACAGAATGAGAGTTTAGATGGAAGGACGTGACATTTTACCCTTCTGCTTCTGTCTTTCAGGTTCACTCTTTGATGTCCCCTGGAAAAGAATTCTTGAGATGTCAGCTCGTTGAACATTGATTCTTCAGATTTGTGCTTGATGATGACTCAGACTTGGCATGGCATGGGGAGTCCAGAGACCTCCCTTTGCTGCCAGTCCGGCTTCACAGTGCACACCTGTTAATGCGAACCCGGCCTTCCCTAAGTGTAACCCTCACTTTCCAAATTAAACAGTTTTTCTGCTGCCTCATTGTGTCTCCGACTGCCATTTTTTCTTCTCGCACTCCTGTGGAGACTGTTTCCCTTCAGCTTCAGCTCCACATGCTCACACGCTCTCCTCACACTTGTGTGGAGACTGTTTCCCTTCAGCTCCGTGTGCTCACATGCTCTCCTCACTCTCGTGTGGAGACTGTTTCCCTTCAGCTCCGTATCCTCTCCTAATCCTTCCCTGTCTGGAGCTGCACCAGCACCACCGAGCGCTTTGTCAGAAACTGGGCTGTGTGCTTTCTCGGCACATCTCTTTGGACATGCTTCTGGAGAAAGGTGAAATGTGTGTCCCTCAGGCAGTGTAAGCTGGGTGCAAGGTGCATGCGTATGCTTGTTCAAGAGTGTGTGCGTGTGCCCGCACACATGCTCAAACACACACGTGAGAGAGAGAGGAGAGCGATTGAGAGGTAGACACTGTGACAGTGTGGCTGTGTCTGTCTGTGACACAAGTGTCGTGTGTCTGTGTGACTCTGTATGGGAGACTATGTCCCTGTGGGGTGTGACTGTGTGTCTGTGTGACTCTGTATGAGAGACTATGTCCCTATGGTGTGTGACTGTGTGTCTGTGTGACTTTGTATGGGAGACTATGTCCCTATGGTGTGTGACTGTGTGTCTGTGTGACTCTGTATGGGAGACTATGTCCCTGTGGTGTGTGACTGGTATTTGCATGTATGTTGAAATAACCAGACTAGCTAAGGATAAAACTGTTATATTTTATTTATTATAAGGGGAACACTCACGAAACAGGAAACAAAAATTCCAAGCACAGCAATGTCCCGTGGGAAAGGGCACAGAGAGAGCAAGCACCTGGAGGTGCACACCTTTACCCTGGGTCCCAGCAAAACTACACCTTAACTAAGACCCACCTCTTAAAGATGATTGGCTAACAACGTTCCCCATCATCTCCCCCTTTTGTCTAAACAAGAGCGATTCAAACCCAATACAAAACTATATACAATAGGAACAGATATCAAGTATAAAATTACAAACAACATAAGCAATATTAAGCAAGGAACATATGACAAATGTTTTAATAAACATTTTATTTTAAGGAGTCTAAATCTTGCATTGGAAATAAGCTTGGCTAAATCAAAAGAGTAAGGTAACTACGACTATCTAATCTTCAACACCATCAAAGGCCTGAGAAGGGAAATAATATTACTGGAGCGGACAGGAAGTGCAATTAAGCAGCTTCCAAAGCGAGCAGAATATGATGGAGACAATTAGCTACCTGAGCAGTCACCCAAAGTCTCATTTGCAACTTCGAAACAACCAACTTTGGCTAAGGCCTAGCGTAACTGACAGACCATTTACAGAGGCAGGGAATTTTTCAGAACTGTCTTAACCTGTCTTGGCAAGATTTGATAGTCTTTTTCCTTGTGTCCTGTGTATCCATTTCCAGATACCATGTATTTGTCAGTGGTTGAGGCATGGGCATTTCCTTGCCCAAAGGCCAATTTGCCAAGAAGAAAACAAACTCTGAGTGGAGTGTCTTTGGTGCTCAACATTCTCTTGGGAATAGATTGATACTGTCAGGAGCAGTCATGTGTCATGTCAACAGAACCCTAAGTTATTTAAATGCCATGTTCTACAGATCCTTGAAGTGGTTGAAGATTACCTATCTAGGCAGAATATAATCTCTATGTATCTAAAGAATGTAATTAATCTTACTGTATATATAACAAACATGAACAATTATTGACATAATATTTAATACCTGTATAACTTTAAGACTAAGGCTTCATGTCAAAATATTAAATAATCTGTAAACAATTGTGCACAAATGAGGACAATGACCTCAAATGTAAACAATGTTAAGTATCTTGTTCAGAGGTAAGAATAATATGTAATACAATACAAAAATATATCCTAAAGAATGTATCAGTATACAAAATGTCCTAAACACGTAGAAACATGCATGTATACTATGTGACAGAATAACTGCATAGGTGCACAAATACTGTAAACAGAAATAACAAATATAATTTAAACCTGTATCAATATACAAAAACTATACCAATGTAAATTGTCCATAAATAATAGCTCACAAATATTCACTTTATTACCCACTATTATTATAACCCCCCCTTTTTAAATAAACATAGTTTCTACCCCAACCCTCTACCTGATACAAGTAACAACCTCTAAGTGGTGTTCCCAACCCTGAGGACAAACTTTTTTGGGAGACAGGGTGTTGTCCTCTAGAATTGCTTCCTGCTGTCATGGGGGCAATGTTCTCTATGGGATCCTGCAAAAGTAAAGTGATGGTTAAGCTTGATAGGGTTTTTTCCCCCCAAAGTTCTTATTTGGAGTTCTGGCCAGAACATCATGAAAAGGTGCACCATTTTGGAGCTGGTACCCCCAAACTGGTCTTATAGTAGCACTATCAGCATCTTGATGCCATCTCAACCAGGTGGAGTTGTTGCTGTGGGGCCCCATCTTTTTCCTGGAAACGTCACAGATTACTGCAGGAAAAGGATCTGTAGGAAAGTCTATTGTTCATGGTGGAAAACTTAAACATTATTCATAGAAACATACATTCAATAAAGAATATGATATAGACAAAATAGACATGGAGAAAGTGAAATTTTTCCTGAAGTCTTCCTTCTGTTCAGATGGCTCCTGATAAGAGACAGAAACTCTGAATGTTCCCTTTTAACAACACACTTGGATTTAGAGAGGTACAGAACCATTGTCCAACTCCAAAACCAGCACGTGTCGCCTTCCAGAGCTCCCCAGTCTCATCACACAGTTGTCTTCAGAGATCCCAGTTCCCATCAAGGAGGTTAAGAATTGAAGCTCAGATTTGTGCTTCAGATCATGGTCTTAGAGAGAACAGAAGATCTCATTAAGGACAAAGCTTGTTTAGAATACGGGTCTGGTGCTGAAGTCTGGGCATTGAGTATCAGCTGAGCTCTGCTTCCGTCTCAGGGGCAGGAAGTCTGCCTTGTATGGGAACAGCCCTGCTGAGTTCCACTGTGCTGTGGAGGTCCTCCCGTGGGCTGCACATAGCAAAGCCTGGGGAGCTCAGCTCCATTGCCTGGGCCACACTGGATCAAGTCGGTCTCTGGGGGACAGTTAGTCACCTAGGTGATCTGAAGGTGTGGCCAGGTTTCTATTCCATGGGCACTCTCCCATTAGTAGTACTGACCTCACTCAGGAGCTATTTGAAAAGGAAATCCCAGGCCTTACCCAAGCACAGAAGTAAAGCTTATGTTTTAACAAGGTCCCAGGTGATTGCTGTGCACACAGAAGCTTAGATGCAACGGGTGAGCGCTGGTTTCCAGCCTTGGCTATCTTGCAATTACTTGGGAGCTTGGCAAAGCTTGAGCCTCCATTCTTATCAGCTACCTGCTGAAGGAGACAGAGAGGATGGAGAGAGGTTCTAGACAGGGTTAGCGAGCTTTTTAGGATGTCTGGGTTCAATATAACGGCAAAACCTGGCAGTGGTTCTGTGGACCATGGGGAGAAATTCACTAAGATGACCTAAGAGGCCCAGTGTGCTTCACACTCATGCACACACAGGTAGCTTTACCAGGACAGCTGGAGAATGTTTTGTTTAGTTTTGATAGCTATTTCAAAAATGAAAGTGCTCAGATTTCAAGAAAACAAGTCAGCTAGGAATGAGTAATAACTTTGTCAAGGAAGACATCACGACAGCCTTTAATATGCACGCAGGTTTGCATTTCTCAGTGATTTAGAGCCATGTGGGACAGGCACTGAGTTCCCCAGTATCAGATTTGCTTTTGTCTCAGGGGTTGTGATTTTCCCAAAGTATCCTTGCTGGCAGCCACATCCCCCAATTACAACAGTAGGAAACTGCAGATCACCTTTGCAGCCTTGAGTTCAAATATGACAATGCACTAGAGGTTGCTAATTTGCTGTCTGCTTGCTAGCTTGCTCTGTGGTTCTCAAGTCCCTGGGCACAGGAAGATGAGCAGTGGGTTCCCTTAGTTAGGGAAATGCCGCATTCCTCCTTCCCCAGTTCCTGCTGAAGGGTTTGTTTTACTGACTCAGGTCAAAGCCTGTGCCTGGAGTCCCACTGTATGGACTGAGGGGTGTCCTGCTGGTCCCTGCAGCTTTTGGCTCAGAGCGCCTCTCCGGGGTGGTTATCTTTCATTTCCTGTGCTCTTTCTGTGGGACTGCAAGCCTTTTACCACAACCACTGAACATTGTCCCTGCTCCCTGCAGCGAGAGGAAGCAGCGCCCTTTGCACCTTCTGCCTACACACTTCCTGTCTCCCCCACATGGAAATGTCTCTCATGTTTCCCCTCAGCAGCCTTGCTCTTTGATCATGGCCTTTAAACTGGGGCTACAAAACACTTTCTTTCTGATGGCTGGAAAACACTGGCGAAAGTGTCAGAGATCTTGTCCCTGGCCTCAGCTTGTTTCCAGCTCCTGGGTGCTCACTGATCCTGGCGGGCGTGGATATGGGCTCTGGAGTCTAGACTACTACTTGAGAACCCCATGACAAAGAGCTGCGGCGTTCCTGGGTGACTGTCGTGGACTTCAGTGTTCCACTCTGCTTTGTTCCAGAAGGATTGAAGAACAGGCTGATGAGGTGTCCCCCAGGACTTCGATAAAACCACTGCACTTGGTTTTCAGAGGTGGAAAAGTTGCACTGCAGCTCTGCACTCTCTCACTCCTGCAGAACCAAGGACACAGGACTCTGCTTCACTTGCTGCCCTTTCACCCCTGATTAGAAACAGAGAAGAGACACAGGTGGAGGTCACTGAGCATCCACAGAATTCTGAACACACTCCATGTCTTTTGAGAAGGTAGGAGCTCTGCAGGACCCCTGAGCTGCTTCCCCACCCCTCCATGTTCTGAGCAGAATCCTCTCTGTCCCCTGAATGTGAACACCAGACTAACAGCAAACCTGGGTGCACAGCAGTCCCAGCAGAGAGCACAGCAGCCTCTTCATCGTGCTTGTCTGACTGCTGGAGATAGAAGCAGGTAACCAACCCCTGGGCTGTGGTGTCA